GAGGAGGGGGAGGAGGAGGAGGAGGAGGAGGAGGAGGAGGAGAGGGAAAGCGATGGGTCGAAAGAAAAATAGTTGTAGGAAATAAAAAAGGCGAAGAAAATATGGTCGCTCGGGTTGGGAAGGAGAGGAGGCAGGAAGAGGATCAAAAAACAAACGAAACCAAAAAAATAAAAATGTAGTACCCCAAAATGGCAGGGCTGGTGAAATTTCGACTGCTTAAAAAGTGATACTGTAGTGGAGTTTCCTAGGAAAAATAAAACACCTTTTTTTTTTTAATAACTGGCCCGCTGGTATGAGCTACCATGGAATAAATTAGCACAAAAAAACGGGAGTTCTTATAACTGTTCGCTGTTACAGACGTAATCCACAAGGTCAGTCACTCGCAAGAGTTCATCTTCGTCTTCCTCTGGTCCGCCAGCCTCCAAGCCGCCCCCCGTCCCGTTGGGTGCCAAAGTGGCATTGGCTGTGCTGTCCTTGGTCGACTGGGCTTTCTCGGTGGGCTTACCGATCAAGTTCTCGATGGCCTTCCCGGGGCTCTGTCCGTTGGTGGAGGGCAAATCCACCAGGCTGTAGTCCAACGGGCTCTCCACCTTACTCACATTGTCAAAGTCATCTTCCTCGTCGCTTTCTATCCGGTAGCTGGATTTCTTGACGGGGTCTTGAGGAGCGGGAGAGGCCGAGGGTTTCTCGGCCAGCGGTGACGGCGGCTTTCCGGCCTCGGGGTTGTTGTCTTCCTCGTCCGTTTCGATGCGGTTCAAACGCTTGCGAACGGGCCGGCCTTCCTCCTCGGGGTCGTCCTCGCCTTCCGAGTACTCGTCGGTGGTGTGGCTCCGTTTCCGGACCGACCGCTTGGACAACCTGGCCGGCTGGTCGTCCTCCGAATGTTTAGCCAGGTAGCTCTCTGCAAGGAGGATCAAGACGTAAGAGCGAAATCTGGAAGGTTTCACGGGGAAGGGGAAAAATTACAGGTAGTCCTCAACTTACGAGAAGCAAAACAGTTGTTAATGGCACTTAGCAGTAGCCCTTAGACTTATATACCGCTTCACAGTGCTTTTACGGCCCCCACTAAGCGGTCAGAATTATTGCTCCCAACAATCTGGGTCCTCATTTTACTGACCTCGGAAGGATGGAAGGCTGAGTCAACCTT